CTCTCTCTGCCTTTACCTATCCCAACAGTTCCTTCATGAATATTTTGGCCATAGTTCCAATAGCTCATAAAAACAGAGCAGCAAGAAACACAACATGACTTATTTGGACATAATTCAGTGTGAACATTCCTAATAAACACTGAAAGTTGTAGTTCTTCTAAGGAACATGTTAGGCCGCAACTCAGCACAAGTTGCTCTAAGAAAATATTTTATGTTCTTTGCAACATTTTAAAAGTTGTTCCCATCATCTTCTCTCTTGATTACCACCATGTCTTCAGTATGACAATTCTCCAACAATCAGAAACAGCTTAAAAATATATGTACGTATAATTCTCACTCATACAGAGACAAGAAAATGTCAAGACCTACCTCTCATAAATCCGGATATGTGCAGGAATAGCGCTTATGAACCCTACCAGTTTTCTATTGGATGATACTCTGACTCCACAGTGCCATTGTGGAAGCCAGCCTGGAGGCCTTAATGCCCTGGAATCAGACACCAAGGAGGAAATGTAAAGGACTGCCCCACTTGAGATACAGAAGACGATATTAATGGTCTACAGAATGTGTTACTCACCACAAGAGAAAGTCTGGTGAGTAGTCAAATCTAAACATATTATCGTCATCTTCTACATAATTCTCGTTTAGCAACATGTATAACTCCTTTAGCTGAAAAGCATTAAGAGGAAAAGCACTAAGCACAGTATAGTGAGCAGAAATCCTCCCCTTTGTTCTCCACAGTCCAGCAACTTTGGGGCATGCATTTGAAGCTCCAAAGCTCATATACAACTCCTTCTGAATAGAAGTGTCCCATTTTCTCAACACTTTAGGGAAACAGGCAGTGTGTCCAAGTTTGACTGAACTTATGTCATACTTCTCAACAAAGAAGCAAGTAAAACATTCCTTGCTTGTATTTAAAGGATTACAAGCGGCCCTACTTACAACTTCAGCATTGCTCAGATCCAAAGTGTCCCATGTAAAACCCTGTGGTAAAGAATATGGCTCTAGACGGATGTTGTCCTTATCTGGTTCAATTGCACCATGAGATGTTATAACTTCACCTGATGCAGAAAGAGACAGAGGGACAAAAGAAAAGAGATCAAAGTGATAATTGCACACAGGCTAGGAAGCGTTCGGAAAACTCATTCTTTCCCACATTTATGCAAAGATTTATTACACAAATGTGAAAAGAAAACATTAAAAATAAAGCTCAAGTAAACTTTCGGTTGCTTACATTATCTCCTTTTCCCTGCTTCTTACTCCCCTCAGCCATTGTTGAAGTGTGGTAGTTGCATGAGCAGAACACTACAGAATCTGATTGGGCATCACTGGCCTGAAACCCAATGAGTGTCTACATTCAACACCCTCCCCCTTCCTGTCATCTTTA